TATATATATATATATATATATATATATATATATATATATATATATATATTGTGAGGATATGTAGAACTCCTCTGAATTCATCTCTAAAAGGTCCCTTTAGAGAAGAGGGAGGTTCATGTATACACAGGGGGCCTTTTTTCAAGAACTCGTGAAATTGTGATTCAGAGAACTTGTGTATTATGTGTTATTTCATATGATCTTTTTTCATTTAAGACTAGGATTTAGAATATTGATTAACACCATTCATCTGGACAGTATGCAAATGTGCATCCAAGTAATTTTGTGGTTTTTATGCACGTGTGTATGTTATGACAATTTGCTTAAAAATTACTTGTATGCACATGTTCATACCATCCAAATGAACAGTTACAGAATGTTCTTTAGTTTTTCATTATTTTGTGGTTTTCCTCTGAACCGGACCCTCTCCCTCTCTCTCTCTCTCTCTCTCTCTCTATATATATATATATATATATACACATACAGGTTTGATGGTCCACGTCTAGCCGTTATGGGACTACAAAATACACCCTCAAAAGGAGCTAAAGAGTGACCCATAGAATGTGTCGAGTCCCAAGTGTTAGACCCTAGTAGCATCTAAGGATATGTGGGGCCCCTTCGAATCCAAGGAGTCTGCCCACGGATGTTTTGTCTTATTTAACAAACAAAAAGGAAAGCAGTACACTGCCAACTGCAAAAGGTGTCTTTATAAGAGCCTTATAGAGAGAGGAGAGGTTCCTACGTGTAGACAGGCTTGATGTTGACATCTACTGAAACATATCTATAACAGTAAATCAATAAGAAGTGTTCTAGTGTAGAATTTATTTGTATAAAGGTGAAACACAGAATTTGCGAAATTGTGGTAATATAGTTTACCTTGTATCAGTAACAAGATTGAATAAGTATTGAAGCAAATCCTTTGCATCTCCCAATGAGTATACCATCTTCCATCGACCAGAGGCAAGGTCATGTCCCCTCCCAGCCTCCGAGAGCTGTGTAGACAACAAAGAAAGGGCAGCTGATGAAGATTTCACCCTGCTTTCAAGTGAAACAATCCTAGCTGCTCTTGTATTTGGTGACAAAGACCTCCTAACAAACGGGTAAGACCAAAACGCATATTGAACAAGAATATATGTAAAAAGAGGGGAAAAAAGAAAAGCACAATTATCTACAATATATGTCTCAAAATATACCAAGCCTGTTTGTTCTCCTCTGATGGAGGCTTGGATGCCTGAGAAGAAGGCTTATCCATTTGTTTCAGAAAGATTAACTCCTCTTTAAGTTTAGCATGGCTGGATATACAGGAAAGAATTAATTCATCATGTAAAATTAAATATGATATGAATGAGTGAACATAACTGCAGGTTAGCATACATACACATACCTCTTTGTTTGCTTTTCATACTCCATATGAAGTTTATTCACATGCATTACTTTGTCGAGTTCGTGATTAAGCCATCTCGTCAAATTTTTGATCTGGAAATGATATTTAAATAACAGATCTCTTAAACCACACTAGACATAATAAAACGTGCCAGAAAAACAAGAAAACTGCCAGAGCTGCTTAAATTCATGATCAATTCATATTTCATCGGTTAATGCCAGCATGTAGAACTCCATATCTAAAATCCATGGCTTCAAAATACTTATTGAGTTCAAATTCCTAAGATATACTTCCTCCATCCCATAATAAATGATAGAATTTCCATCTTGGTTTGATTAAATATTATATTACATTTTCCCTTTCAGCAAGATTTCAACCCAAAATTACATAGTTTCCTTTTTTAATCATTGCAAAATATTGGCGACATTGATTTTGGTCTATCTTGTCATTACTGAGGAGTATTATAGTAATGATCAAATACTCTCATGTTTAAGTTGCTATGAACATTTGTTGCTATTAACATTTGTTTTCTAGGAGTATTATTAATTTTGGTCTATCTTGCCTGTCTTTCTTACTTTCTTACCAGTCTTCCATGTTTAAGTTGCTATGAACATTTCTTTTCTACTTGCATTGCATGTCTCACCTGATTACATTGTTTGCGTGCACACCATTGAATCATTATCCTATATGTTATATTTTCCGAACTACTTGTCATTGTACCTATCTTATTGTCTGCTTGCACACACCTGGGTTTCGTGCACAAGCTGTGGGTATTCATGGAAACAACCTCTCAATTCTAGCGGTCGGTTAAGGTCTATGTACATCCTACTCCCAAACCCTACTTTCAAGTGGGATATACTGAGTCCATTTGGCTTGGTTTGATTTGGTTTGGTTTATGTGTAATATTTGAACATGATAATAACCCAATTCTTAACCGAAATACCAATAAGTAACCCAAACACTAAGAAAATCCCTCTTTTACTTAAGAATGTAGTGGCCAAGATATATACATAGATGTATGTTTATTATGTTTATGTGGGTGCGGAGAGGTTCAAGTGTGAACATTAAAAAGGTTGGAAACATAGAAACAAATCTCAACTGTAGAGAAGTGACCAAAAAGATGGTTAAAACCTTATTTTTAAAACAAAAAAGATTCCCACCATTCTTAATTGAAAATAGGTAAAATATAATCAAAATTTGAGCCAAACCAATTATACCAACAAAAAAAAAGAACAAGCACGATATTCTCTTTAATTTGGCATCCATATTGTTATATTTTTTCATCCTTCTTTCCACATTTCCAACCCTTTTGTTGTTTCCATTTAAACCCTCCCCTATGTGTGTCTATATCTGTGACTACCTATTTACACAGTTTGTATCCATTCTCCATTTTGTGTCTCATCCCAGTTCTCCTTAATTCAAGTAAATGAGACCAACAAGTAGTAGGAAAAAGCAATAAAAGGTTGAATGTTATATGAACTAACCAAATATATAGAATCTTCAGGTGGCTTTTGACCACAAAATTCATTAGTAGGAAAAGAAGGTTCACAATTACCTGTCCACTTCGTTTTTGTCCACTGGGTTGAACTGGAAGAGAAAGAGGAGAGAATGAAGTTACTAAAAGCAAGAACAAGTTGTGGAAAGAAGTACCGTTAAGATATTTACCAGTAGTTTCACGACGGTTGGCAACCTTGCGTAATTCAAGCAACTCTTTTAGCTTTTTGGTAGCTCTTGCAGCTTCTTCTGTTTTCCTCTGAAGAACCTGGAGTGAAAGAATAAGTTCAAAAGGTTCTCCATGTCAACTGATGAATTTTTGAACTACAGAACTCCTAAAACATTCAGAAATTGTGGTGACGACAGAAATAACACCATTTTGCAACCATTTACAAGTATTGTCAAGGGAAGTGAAGAACTTTTATTTGTTTGTGGACACATTTTAGTCCAATCTTTATAGGCCTTAGAAAATATTAATAAGGGCAGGTTCAAATGAGAACCAGAAATCTTTTGAGAACCTCGGAACCAATGATTTCATGAATTATTAATGATAAATAACCCTGAAATATTCATGAATATCATGCATTTTCATTATTCATGACGAATCAGCCTAAAATAAAAATTAATGATATTTGTTCCTGAACAATTGTTTCGCAAGTTCTAAAAATATTTATGGTTCTCATTTGAACTTGACCTATATTAGTAAAGCATCAACTTATGCATAACCTCTTCTTAAAGGGTATACACCATCCTCCACAGCGCTCCCACCGCATTGGTCCCACGACCATCTTGGGGAGAAAAACCATGTTGTCCCAGAGAGAGAGACAGACGGATGGTACCGGATTCAGCTTGGGACCTCACTAAGGATTCCCACCTCCTTACCGCTAGGACAATCCCTGAGTCCCTAACTTGTAATGTCTACAGATTATTTATAACTTTCTAAATATATACTCAGGAGGTGATATATAAGTTGTGTCTACGCTCCTCATATGCATGTAGTTGTTTCCTTTTCTTTAATCCTTCTCATATCTAACCACATGCTTCTTTTATTGAGTTAAGCTGATTCTAGTCTAATTCCCCAAATTAAATCAAACCATATCAAATGAACAAGAGTAACAGAGAATTTTAGTTTAAAAGAGACTATCAAAGAAAAAAATAGGTATTCTAAATTTTTCAGGAGGAAATCAACAAGCTAATTTGTAAAATATTTAAAGTTTATAAACAATTCATATGATACCAACAAAGATATCTGGATGTAAGGTTAGAGTGTCAACGCTAAGGGTAAGTAGACAAATTGCTATCATTTATGACTTCAGTTACGGAAGTTTATCCAAAGTAGATCTGCTGCAAACACCAGTTGTTGTGTTCTTAGATGAATTTTTAAGGTGGCAAGCACATTTAATAGTAAATCCTTACCTGTGTTTGGCGTTGATATAGAGCAAGCAATTTATGCCTCTCAAATTCACTCTTCCTGCTCTCTTTCTTTAGCTGCTAAAAGATACAATATCGAATTAGTTTGCATTTTCTTAGTAGGTCCAGATGCCGGCATATGGCATGCATGACTTCAAATCACCAACCTCTACCAAACCATTTTACAGTATAAAGTTACCCCCAGAACTTACAAAAACCGCTTAAAAATAGGCCAGCCTGTCAAAAGTCCATCATGATGTAGACAAATTATGATGTGGAATGTTTTGAATGTTTGGTTGGTTCTATCTCGTCAGTAAATTTTCTTAGGGTCATCTCTCTGGCACTGTCAAATCTTATATTGGATTCGGCATCATCCTATTCTCTGCCAAATCACTCTCTTATGTGTGAATCAAGTTGAACATGTCAGTTTTGCTAGGTTAAAAAATGCAGAGGTGCATATGTATATTCAGTGAGATGAGTTGATGTATGTGATGGGTGTTAGGATATGTAGAACCCTTTGAGGAGAAATGGTCCAAGTCTATCGAGGTGGGACTCTAACACGCTCCCTCCAACAGAGGCTACATAGGCACAATTGTTCCAGGGTGTCGAAAGGGGGCTAGGCAAGTACAGATTTCCCCAGAGTAACGAGTTGTTAGACCTTAGCTCTGATACCATGTGAGAATATGTGGAAAGGGAGGTTCCAACATATATTGAGGAGAAATGATTCAAGCCTAGCCAATGTGGGACTCGAACATTAGATACTACCTGCAGCATTTGCTTCTCACTATTGGCCTTCCATTGCCGAAATTGCTCCTCCTCATGTTTCATCTTTTGCTGTAGTTGCACCTGTAATGAAAAAGAACTACCATTGAAAACTGTGGGAACTTTTTGAACATGTAAGTGAGATTTATCCAGGAATAACCTTTTGGGACTTGATAAGACATATCTGGTCTTGTAGTCGTTTCATCGCATCTTGACTTTTTTGCTTTAAAAGTTCAATCTGTTGTTCATATTGTTTCTCTAAATCTGAAATCTGCATTTAGTATTAATAGAACGATTTAGCAGTTGGTTGAAAAGAGGTCCAGGGCAGCATAATAATGTGGATCACAATCACCTGCACCTCAATTTCTTCAAGTTTCTCCGCATTCATGGTTTGCTCTTTTTCTGTTGGCTCACCCAGAGCTTCAAGACGTGCAATTTTAGCTCGCAAGCCATCTCTTTCTAGCTGCAAGCACAGCAGAACTTATCATATAAAGAAAAAGCAAAGGATCAAAGATGGTCAAACAAAAGATATCCAACCTGCAATGATCTTTTTCCTTCCTCAAGCTCGATGATTTTCTTTCCAAAGCGTTGCTTGAGTGCTTCCACATCAGAAGACCCAATAAGCTTCATCTCAGACTGCAAATAAGTCGAGATGATCTAACTGAATGATGATAAACACAACAACAAAAGCATTAAACCCAAACCAGTTGGGGTACGCTAAAGTCTAAGGGGCTACTTGGTAGATGTTTAATGATTTATTACAAAATGATTAAGTAGTCAGAATGAATTAAGAGTCGGTATGATTTAACACGGAATGAATATGGTTGTTTGGCCTAATTACAACTCCATTTTGGGTTGGTATCACAAGAAAACAACATCCACAAGATTTTTCTCCCTTGATGGTCACGGGACCAGTGTGATAGGGAAGCTCCAGAGGGTGGTGTACAACCTCTTTTAGCATCATTGAGACAAAAAATCAGTTTTTAAGCATTGACATTGCATATGTGATGCACAAACATCATCTGAATGAAGATGAATCAGTATAAAAAGATATTTCCTAGCAATCCCTAGTCATTTTCAAAACAATTGATATTGGTTTCCTATTTGCTCATTTTGAATAATCATGTATCAGAAAGAAGAAGAAAAATACTACTCCCACCCTCCTTTGGAAGTTGAAATCTACTTCTCCCTTGACTATACTTTAGAGTATCAATTTTCGAGTTATTGACTCCCATTCTGGGAGTATCTTTTACCATCATAAAACTAGTAACTTCAATTGGTCATTAAGGAACTATCCTTGGGAACAGAAAATAATGTGAATTCTTGATGATAGAGTTCTCAATCATTGTAGGAGGAAGTTAGATAGATATGCCTTAAATCTAGGCTGAACCAGTTTAATCGCAAAACGGATCGATTGGTTGCAATCAAGTACACTTCCTACAACGCAATCTCCAAAAAAAAAAAGTAAATGCATAATACTAGACTCAAGGGCACCTCTTTCTCCTCCAGGCGTTTGTCCAAATCATTTAACTCTTTATGCCACATATTCTGCTGAATTTCATGCTCCTGCTTTATTGTCAATTTATCAGGTTCTTTCAAAACTTCACCTGCAATATCGTGATCTTAATTCCCAAGATAAAAAAGTGGGATTAGTACAACGTCAAATATGTCCTATATGTTAGGTAATGCAAGCAAAGGAGCACAAGAGGGGATAGGAGGAAAAATGATACATGCATCATGTCTACGGCTAAAACCAAATTTCATTCTAGTATACTTCTTGTGCAAATATTTATACTTGGTCACTGATAACTTACTTGCAACAGATTCACTGACTGCCTCGGGAGAGGTCGTGCATCGTGAGTCTCTCTTAATTGCCTCGGGAGAGGTAGTGCATTGTGAGTCTCTCTTAATTGCCTCGGGAGAGGTCGTGCATTGTGAACCGCTCTTAACTCCATCTCTTTGAACAAAATATTCACGATATTCCTGAGATCGAATCAAATAGTAATCTATCAAACCTTTTACTTTAGCATGATTCTTATATATGAAATAAACATCTAACCATTATTATTGTGAGAATATGAGGAACCCCCAAATTACTCTCCAAAAGACCCCTTGGGGCGTGAAGGAAGGCTCCAACATATATAGAGGATAAATGGTCCAAGTCTAGCCGATGTGGAACTCTAACAATTATAAACCTAAACTACAAGATTGCCAACAGAATAATAGTTGATTGTCATTGAAAAGTATATATTCACATACATGAGCCTTTTTTTCATAAACAGCACATTTGTTGCGATATTCATGAATCTTTTGGAGAAGTTCTGAGTTGGTAGCCTGACATTCATGGATCTTTTGGAGAAGTTGTGAGTTGGTAGCCTCTAGAGAATCAACTTTTCTCTTAAGTTCCTACAAGAAAGTAGCACAAGACCATAAGCACCTTATCATAATAATGTCTGCATAGTTTTATAACAAACCACAACATATGATAGATATACATAATACCTGCACTTCAGCAATTTCAGCTTCCCTCCTGTGAGCAAGTTCCGCCTGCAGCAATCTTAATTGCTGCCTCAACTTGTGAGTGTCGGCAGGAAATACTTCTTTTTGAACCTGACAAACACGGAAAATAAGCATGAGTAGAATTATGCATGCCGGCCGAGGGATTGTGAAGAAAAAATGTTATATAAACTTACTGAAGCTTTATTTTGAATGTTACGAGCACGATTAGCATACTTGAGAGTATTAAGAGTTTCCTCGGCATTAAAATCAGCAGGGCTGACACAAGCTAAAACGTATGATACTCAGTAATATAAAAGCACAAGCTAACAGACCCACAAGCATAAGCATTACACTATCACCACCGGAGCGAAAAAGATGCAGCCAGCATAGCTTAATGTTCAAACCTTCACCCAGAAAGTAAGGACCAAAAGTGTACATATTACAAGAAAAAAGAACACAAAGAAGGCAACACTGGGAAAGAAACCCCTTGAAACATGGTTTATATTGTGTTCCAGTACACGTAATATACGGACATAATTCAATTTTCAGCCCCCTGAATCCATTTTGCTTTGTGTAAAAAAAGTCATTTCAGCCGCCCGGTAATGAAAGAAATCCATTTTGCTTTGTGTAACAAAGAAGTCGAGGATGAGATATACGTATCAGACACTTAAAGCTTGCCTTTAACTAGGCTAGGTTTGTTAGACTATGTTATGTTATTTAGCTTTTGTTAGAGAGATTTCCACATATCCTAACATAGTATCAGAGCCGGGGTCCAACACCACCTAGGGAATCCACACACTTTCGCCTCCAATCTTGCAGGCACCGTCTGGCCTCTGTTTGAGGAGACATGTTGGAGACACAGATCATCAAACCTACTATATATATATATATATATATATTTGTGTGTAGGAACCTCTCCTCTCTATATAAGGGCTCTTTTAGAGAGATTCAAAGGGGTTCAACATATCCAACTTAATGTACATGTCTTCCCATTTCCAACCAGTAAGATGTTTCACCATTGACATAGGAAAAATATTCATTAAGTTTCAGCGCTAAATGCAACTTAAGTAATTGTCAGAATGTTATGTTACTTTACAAGTCTAGTTCTCAACCTGCTCATTCTGATTCTACGTGAAGAAGTCCAATTTCCATGCTACATGACAAATTCCATAGTCCAGAACCTGTTCAATCCTGTTGTCACTTAGCAGTTTTCTGATCACTATTTACCTCTAATTTCCTTTGTATAAAAGGTTACAAGAAGCAATTAATTACATTGAGCTCAAGCACAAGAAGAGGGATGAGAGCATAATAAGGAGATACCTATCATAACAGTTTTGCAATTCCCACCAAGTGAAGCCTGTTGAATGCATGAAGAATTTACATTATGAACTAGTACAACAAGATACACGAATATAGCTTAAACAAGGTTTCAGAAACAGATCTGACAAACTTCAATTGAATTTAATCATTCTTTAGAACATCTCAGAAACATTTAGAGGATAATAATAGTCGATGTTATATAATATATATCTCACTAATTGCTCAAGCATGCTAACTCGCTATACAAGATCTTATAACAAACCATTTATCGCATGTTCTTTTGGGGAAAAAATAAGCATACAAAGTATACAATCATATGTGTGAGATATACGGAGGTTTCGTTTGGTTTGATTAGGTTTTCTACAACCAATCATCTATAAGCACTACGAGTTTATGTGAAAAGGTGTTTTATCAATATTGTCATGCATTTTTTAAATTATTTGAAATGAAAGAATCTTTGACGTTACTCGTATATCTATTATATTCTTAGGTTACAGTTAAATTTGGTTTTCGTTGTCTCATGTTTTAAGGACATTGAGTAAGGATCTATCAAACAGAATTGCAGGCACTAAAATGCAAATTGAGCATGTTGTTCTATCGCTCAATGAAATTAGCATGTTTCTTGGTGGGAACGAGGTGTTTTGGTTGAGCAAGAAGCACCTGATCGTTTTGCATCTGAACCAAGTCATGACATATATTTCCTGTAAAATAACCTAGGCAAGGCATCCCTGCCAGAAGTTAGAATTCTGTTGAACAAACTAATGCAACTATACTACTATAATGGGGATGTGATCCTATAGCCAACAAAGTCTTCTGCGAGAACACCAAACATATAGAGGTTGATTTCAATTTTGTATGGAATCATGTCATGGGTACAACAATCAACCTCACCTCTATCTAGTATGTTTGTATGCATACCCGGTATTGATAGCTAGAAATTGTGATAAGAGTTTCATGAAAGACCCGGATTGATTTTTTCTGTGACAAGGTGGACATAATGATATATACACTCCATCTTGATGAGGATTGCTGTAGTATTTTCGTTAAGCCATTACCTAGGGTTGTCTTTGTCATGATTCCAGCTTGTACATATTATACAGGGTTTTCCCAAATTATAAGCATTTGTTCAAACCCTAAACATTTATAGTTGACATCATCTTTTTCAAAATGTCTAGTGGATAGACCTTGAGAACTAATGCGAACTTCATTCCCTATCGAAGATATGTAAGAAAGAGAAAAAGGAAAAACATGATAAATATTTGAATAAGTAAGAACATTTTGCCACAACTGGTTTTCAGAATTTAACAATGTCAGACAAACCTGCAATAACCGGGTAAGTTTACTGTCTCGATAAGGGATATGCAGCCCCTCTTTCCGTTTTTTGTCATCTCCTAGTGCACTGATGACATTTCCCAGTGCAAGAAGCCCCTTATTGATTTGAATACCTGTTACACCAGAAAAGGAAACCAATATAGAGAACTGATATTGTCCAAAACTAGATGGTACGTTATAAGTTAACACTTGCACCGACCTTCTTTCAGACGAACTCCTTCGGAACCTGCTCTCTTAGCTCTCTCAGATCCAGCAAGGTCTACCATATGTAATTTCGCACATTTGTACTCCTCACCACCAAAATTATCGTTTGAACTGGCTTCACCTTTATTTTTATCCTTCTGCTCTAAAATTATTGTGAATATTGCATGGGACCGACTGTTACAAACATGCCAAACATGAAATTCCCGTATTTGTTGTACAAAACTAACATAAAATTTACTCAAAAAAGGTGGCATTTATGTGTATCTACATAACCATTAATAAACCGCAAATAAATACAAAAAGAAGCTGGTGATAGCTCAAGTTTGAGAGATATGATACTAAAATAAGTTCGAAAGAATCCACAATCTGCGTCAAATAGTATATGATCATAGTATCTGATAGACAAGAGATTGTCAAGTGGTAATAATCAAACAACAAAATCGAAGAAGGGTCACACACAAATCCTTTTGGAAAATATTTAGAGGTCTAACAGTTCATAGGGCATTTACATCCTCTTAACAAGTAGCTTGCACTTAATTTGGAATCTCAAAGCCAAATCTATTAGCACATTGAGATTGGCTTCAGAATTGCTAATTTCTGCTAGCCAATTAGATTGAGAAGAACAATTTGTATGCATTTAGTTTATGCAATGTGGCATTATGTTCCCGTCTACATAACATAGTCAATGACTGAAGGTCATATGTTTAAATTGACTTTCACAACAACAACAAAGAACAATGCATGACCATATTGAAACTAATTTGTATGTCTGCAATTGGAGAAGACAGGATAGAGATTTGTTAAGAAACTGGTCACCTTGATTGACTGTTCATGTCTGTTGCCGCTGTTGACCTATTCGCACATCCTTGCTCTAGGCAAGCTGTCATTTCTTTCTGTGTGCTAACACTGACTTCAGTTGATCCACTTAGGCTTACAGCTCCATCTGATGCTTTGCGAATTTGTACCGGTAGCTTGCCAGGTACTGCGTTCTCAGCATTTCCATCACCGGTTTCTAGTCTATCAATAACGGCTGAATCCAGCAAGTCCCTCACTTCTTCTTTTAGAATCTTAAAATTCAAACACTCTAGTTAAAATCAACCTTAAACATCAACTACACAAAAAACAACATAATTAAGGATATATAGATATCCTATGGTCATATAGAAGAACATAGAAAGTAACCTCAATGTAGGAACAATGCAATTGGAATTCAATTTGATCTTTCAGTGTCTCAATCTTGTTAAATATTGTGTTCATAACTTGAGGGATCAGTCCTCTGTTGGAACCTTCTTTTGGAGCAGTACCCATGGTGTAAGTCTTGCCTGAACCCGTCTGCACGTGTTTATTTTGTGAAATGTCAACAAAAGAAAAAAAAATTTGTGTTCTTACTGTAAAGTTTATATGAATAAAACTACCTGACCATACGCAATAACTGTACCGTTGTATCCTTGAAACAGATCATCTAACAGAGGAGCAACACACTCGTCAAACATATTGCTTGATGGAGACCCTCCTCCTCCATAGATATGATCAAATATAAAGGAATGTGAACCCATTAGCACCTGCACTTGTCAACCAAGCTTTTAAACCTTCAGTGGTGTCAAATTTTATGTGAACATTGGCCTTCTCCAAAATATGGAACTTTTCTATTGATTATATTAATTTATGTAAAGTACCATATGTAAAGAGTGGGTAGTAGCAAGAAACATACACACATTAACGCATACAACCAAAAAAATTCAAGACCGGGAGTAAAATTTCATTGACCTGAAGGTTTTTATAATAGAAGTGGTAACATGTTTTGGAGGTAAATTTATGATAGTTTCATTTACAATGACATTTCCCTGGAATCTAAGTGAAATTCGGCAGGTACTGCAAATTGCAAAGAAGGAATCACATTTTCAATGCTTTTTCCTTTTTAATCGTTGCTGAAAGCAATTATACATGCGCTTTCATGTATCTAATGGAATGATTCACTTCCAGCGTTATTTGAATCACATTTTCATTCAATGCATTTCGTAGATCGTACATAAATCAAATAATCAATCCACTAAGATGATAGTTTTCCTCATTAATTTCTAGAAAATAACCAAAATCCGTTCTTCCATTAGACGATTACATGTATTTAGCACATATGCATAATCGTGATACGAAACCTGAATAAAAGTTCGAGATCGCATAATACTAATTTGCAATTATGCAATGCCATCCATAATTCGAGTAATCTGCTAGATATGAACAAGAAGACGTCCTATATATATAAATATGTGTGTGTGTGTGTGTGGATACCTGAGACGTCCCCGGAACGACGTCCAAACATTCTTCGCCGCCGTTACGCCGCTCCTGTTTGAGAAGAGGACGAATATGCAACGCCACCTTCACATTGCAATTCTCCGGCGAGTTCTCCATTAGGATGAAGATTTTGATTTTTGTATAGAGAGAAATTTTATGTGGATTTTTTTTTGGGAATTTCACGGATGATTTTGGCGGGTGTTCGTTATATATGTTATTTTAATGCGGGGAAGAAATAAGGGTTGGATTCGTAATTTCAAATCAAGCTCTTGTAATATCCAGTCAGCATTTGTAGCCTTTCCGCGTGGCAACATATATGTAGACATGCTTGCATGTGGGTAAAACATATGATAAAAAAAATTAAAAATTATTTTGTATGTATTAAGTATTATTTATTGATGTATATTACTTAAAATTCAATATTATAAGTAAATTGTACATAAATATAATTTATTAAAGTTTTATATTTGAATTCATATAACTAAATACTGATAAACATAATCAAATAAAGTATAAACATTTCATTTTAAATATAAAAATCTAAAATATAATTAGAATAATCATTGAATTGTAACAAAATATTTAATTATTATTTTTATAAAAAAATTATATCATTAAACTAAAAATAAAAAAATGAATTAAAGAAGTTACAAAAAAAAAAGATTTTAAATTGCTAGTTTGGTACTAATATCAATATAATTTTTTTAAATCTTTATGATATCTTTATATTTATATTTTATTCAAAAATAAAAACATTATCGTTTTTTCAAAACCATATGAAACCGTATTATAATATCGACTGAGACAAAAAAAAAGAATATTAAAATCAAGATATATCTCGCTACATTGCGCTAATATCCTTCTAGTAAAACAATAATACTTAATATTGCATATTTTATATCTGGTGTTTAGTTAGGGCATTTTTTATAGATTTAAAAAATATATTGAATTTTAAAAAATATATTTATTTATTTTTAATATATTTTTCATTTTAAAATATCCAACATTAATTATAATATTAAGATATTTTATTTATCTTTTAATTTCTCTCTATAAATAAATATTTTCAAAGTTTTTATTGGTAGAAGTATGTTTAAAAATATTTATCTCACGTGGTAATTTTTTTTGGGTAATTTCTATAATTTGATGAAAAAGGCTATTTTTTCTACTTCCTTCATTTTAGATATAATCTGTTAGAGCTCAATTTTAGTTCAAAATCTTCATTCGTTCTATTTTCTATATTTTAGAGAATCTGTTCGAGATGTTCTTAGGAATAATCATTGGTTAAAATCCAATGCGTTTAAGTGGATTTAATATGATCCAATCATTCAGTTGATATTGGATTTGGTTATCTTATCCAACCCAATTAATATTGGACATCCGGTCCAATCCACTGAATGATTGGATCGGATAGACTCCATTCATCAGATATTACCATTCGTTATTCATTTGATTAAATTGGATCTATCTGATATTCTGATACATTTTTTCTACCAATTAATAACCGTTTCAACCAATTATTCATATATATTTTTTAATTTATTAAAAAAACACTACGTATAAGCATCAACCAAAAAATAATATCGTAAAATACTAATAATTATATATGATTATTAATTGAATGGTTGTTGGATGATAATTTGATTGGATGAGTTCGATTTTATTGGACACTATTTTGTTATCTAAGAACCGATCGATCCAATTTGGATGTTAAATTTTTGGATCCAATCCCATCTAATCACAATGTGATATATGATTTATCACAATGTGATATATGATTAACCACAATGGTGGTGTCTTATTGGTTTGAGCTTGGCTCCAAATATCAAAAGTACCAGGAGGTCTCAGGTTCAAATCCAATGAGAAATAAAAATCCCCTTATGGCCATGGAGGTTCAAATGCGGTGACTCCGGACTATCTACAAAGCAGGTGGTCGTCCTGGGATTAGTCGGCTCGCATAGCGGATTAGATATCCAGGTTAATAAAAAAAATATGATATATAATTATGGTCGATCGATTTAAATTAGATCAAATGACTTTTAACACACTTCTAATTTCTTTCATATATAAAACAATATTTAAAAGCTGTTTTGTTAATTTACAACATATTTCTGATTTTCGTAGTAAAAAAGACAATTTTCAAATTTGTTTAATAAACATGATTAATTTATGGCCTAATTTTATTATCTAATTTGACAAACATATCTTAATATCTTTGTTGTATTTTTATTTCTTTAGTACTGGACGGGTATTCGTGCAATGCAGTGAGATATATTTCGATTTTAATGTTTTATTTGTTTCCGTCTCTGTAAATGTTATAATATGGTTTATATGGTTTTGAGAAAAAGGATAATGTTTTTGTTTTTGAATAAAATATAATTCTGAAAATATTATAAAATTTCGAAAATAAATATACTAATATTAGTATCAAATTAACTATTTAAAATTTTTTTTTTTTTTGT